ACACCGCTAACCTGGAGGAATACGCAATGAGATTTCGCACCCAACACAATGAGCCAGAAAAGCATATATCTGTGTTTACAAAACTTATTCTATAATGTTCTTCCGATATATTTAAAACAGGATTAATAAAATAAAAGAAATATATAAGAAATAAATATTTCTAAAAATGAAAATAAGATTAAAATCTAAAAAATTATCGGTTGTTTAGGAGTCAAAAGGTTTGCAAACAACTCCTCATCATTGAAGTGAAAGTCTACCTCCATTCCCCCTCTCTCCCCCTCCCCCTTACAAAAGTTTAGCAGAAGTTTATTTAGAATCCAAATAGCTATTCTAGGGTAAAAAATTACTAAAACTTATTCCTTCCCATTTATTTTCTATTCTAGTAAGCCACTCAGCCAGCAAATGCAAGGAAAATATTCCTCTAGTAGACAAAGAGTATATAAGTCAAGAAAAAGGTGGAAGCACACAGTCTAGAGATTACTTGATAAAATCACTGCTTCTCTCATACATGCCACGTCCAACATAGTACCGTTCCTGAGAAAAGCAAATAAGAAACAAACTGTATTGATTAATCAACATGTTAAACATAGAGAAACACAACCACACAAAATAATGGTAGTAGTTCAATAAAATGTTGATTTATCACATGCTTAACATTGTGTACAAATAAAGATGTAAAAATGAAGATGGAAACCTGGTGCATCCACTTGATGAAACGAACTAAAGGCCAGCGATCGCAACGATTTGTAATGCGGTGGCAGGCAGGAATACGCATCAGGAAACTAATAAAAAACTGAAGACCAGCATATATGCCTATAACCATCAAATACAATCGGAACATGACCGAATCTGAATTTGGTTTACTTTCTTCTTGGAGTGCTTTTCTGCATGGTGATTAAAAAAAAAAAAAAAAGATAGACAAACATTGAAAACAAGCAAAGAAACAGAGAACGCATAAAAAAAGCAATAAGTTAACTTTGGAGAGACAAAGGATTCAACAGAGTCAAAGAGACCATACATGTACAGGAAAGATATCAAGATTGACGCAACACCAAACCAGATGAAACGGAGAAAAATGCGTGAAACAGCTAGTCGTCTTGTTGTTGAATATGCACCATACATCATGATGACATCCAGAATGCCTACATCACCAAAGAGAGAACTTTCAGCAAGAAAGGAAGAATACTTCAGTGCCAACTAGAGTAAAACCCACAAAATATAGGTAGAAAAGAAACCCACTTTCGAAAAACTTCATCACAACAAATGTTGGACCAAGGCTGAGAACTTCCCGTATAGTTTTGGAGTTAAGACTACCATTGAATGCAATAATGGTGAGTCCCTAAAAAACAGAAGCCAGAATGATTAAAGATATTTATAATCAAGAAATATGGCATTTAAAGAATAAAAAAAAACAATTATAAACTTTTTTTAACATAAGCCTAGAGGGATGTAACTTTGAAAACAAGGGAATTGAACCCAGTCACAATTAGCTTAACCATGGGCATTTTGCTAGTGAGCTCGATAGCTCATGAAAAAACAATTCTAGATTTTAACCCAAAGTTTGGCCAATCATCATGGAAGATGCAATAATGTGGAGGAACTGGATGTGAGGGGAAGGATTATTTCGGGTAACGAGGAGCTGAGAGATGAGGTTAAGGCGGCCTATTCCATGGATCTTTACACAGAAGATTGCCTCTAGGAGGGCTACTCTAGATAATTTGAATTTCAACAGGTCGGGAGAGCAGGAAATAATGGTTCTTGAGCAGGAAGTCACTGAGGAAGAGATTTATGCAGAATGGTTCTTGAGTGGGAATCCCCAGGAAACATCATAGTTCTGGAATCTAACTCCTTTGAAAAAAAAAAAAGATTCCAAATTACGTAGGTA